GCAGCTCAAGAGAGTTCTCGGGCATCAAATATAAAAAAGAAAGGAAGAAAACAGCCTAACATATTAAATTATAAACATATGTTTGGAATTTCCTTTGAATTACTCATGAGTCTAAACCTTAAGGGTAAAGAATTTAACAAAACACATTTGAGGTTTCTGTAACACAAAACATTTGAAAAGTTAGCCAGTGAACTCAACTACCCCAAAGGCAGAGGAGATTTCTACTCTTAATATTGAGTAAACTGAAACTTCTCCCCTACTACTGTGAAATATCTGTACTGTACAATTAAAATGTCCATCCTTGTTATGTACCTTTTAATAAACATGAATTAATCCATATATTAGACGGTTGAAGGTGGAAGACATTTGAAGATTTTTGTTCGTTTTTACATTTTGTAGCCAGAAAAACTAGGAAATCAGGAGAAAATGCAACATAAGAAAGACAATATTTAAAAATAGGAATTCTCCTAGGCTTTGACTTACCCTTTCTTACTTAAACCATAGCAATTTTTTGTGTGATTGTGCTGTTGGCTAGTAAGTATTTCAGAGTACATAGGTACCTAGAAGCAAGGGAGATTGAAATATTATTCGGAAACTTAGTGCATTTTTATGCTCAAATTCATTGTTTTTTCCAATGTTTTTCTGGTGTTATCCCCAAAATAATCATGTTTTTTGAACAATGCCTATCAATGTTATTAAATAATAATTTAATTTTAATGTTGAAGAATATAGATAAAATATTAAGGTAGCAAAAGTTGCATAAAAATATATTTTTACCTACCTAATTTTGTTTTGTTTAATGTATTTTTAAACAATTTTTTATTGAGTAATAGTCATTTTACAATGCTGTGTCAAGTTCCAGTGTAGAGCACTATTTTTCAGTTATACATGAACATATATATATTCATTGTCACATTTTTTTTTTTCGCTGTGAGCTACCACAAGATCTTGTATATATTTCCCTGTGCTATACAGTCTAATCTTGTTTATCTATTCTACATTTTAAAATCCCAGTCTGTCCCTTCCCACCCCCTGCCCCCTTGGCAACCACAAGTTTGTATTCTATGTCTATGAGTCTGTTTCTGTTTTGTATTTATGTTTTTGTTTTTGTTTTTTTTAGATTCCATGTATGAACGATCTCATATGGTATTTTTCTTTCTCTTTCTGGCTTACTTCACTTAGAATGGACGTTCTCCAGGGACATCCATGTTGCTGCAAATGGCGTTATGTTGTTGGTTTTTGTGGCTGAATAGTATTTCATCATATAAATATACCACCTCTTCTTTACCCAGTCATCTGTTGATGGACATTTAGGCTGTTTCCATGTCTTGGCTATTGGAAATAGTGCTGCTATGAACATTGGGGTGCAGGTGTCATTTTGAAGTAGGGTTCCTTCTGGATATATGTCCAGGGGCAGGATTCCTGGGTCACATGGTAAGTCTATTCCTAGTCTTTTGAGGAATCTCCATACTGTTTTCTGCAGTGGCTTTCCTTGCTTCCCTCTCCCACTCTTAATGATTTAGATGTCTTCTTTTACAAGTTTGTGTTTATTCTATTTGTAGTTCAAGGTAGTTATCACCTTTCCAGTTATGAGTTTCTCATTTTTGTAGAATGTTGCTTCTTTTCTATTTAGAGTCGACCTGTTAATACTTCTTTTAGCATGGGTTTAGTGTTGCTAAACACTTTTAGTTTTTGCTTATCTGTGAAGTTCTTTATCTCTCCTTCTATTCTGATGGATAGCCTTGCTGGATAGAGTATCCTAGGCTGCATCTTT